GCAGCTCAGACCTGGAGAATAGAGCTGCAATAGGACAGCTCTGGAGGCTGGAGCTGCAAAGGGACAGCTCAGTCTTGATTACCGGGAAGCCAGGCTACCTGAAGCTGGGGTGTGGTGGGGAATGGTCTGCAGGATGAAGGTCTTGCTCTTCTCCTGGAGAATGTCTACAGATGGGTGCTGCCCTGTTCCCTTAAGGGAACATTCTAGCATAGCTATCTGCTTCTTCTCTGTCCCAACATGTTTCTTCTTTGGCTACCACTCTGCTAAAGGGGAAGCCCCCTGCAGAAATGTAGCAATCTCCTCTGATTCCTGCAAAGTGTTACTCTTTTCTGCCCAGCCCTGCTCAGTTCCCCTTAAGGCACATCCTAGCAAGGTTCTTCTGTTCTGCTAAGCCTTGCTCAGGCCCCCTAGGGGAGTATCTCAGGAAGGTTTTTCACCTCTGTCCCCTAAGGGATGTCTCAGTCAAGTTCTTCTAGTCTGCACTGGCAAACTAGTGGAAGGCCATCACTCAACACTCCTTTGAGAAAGAGATTTATTTAAGAAGAAAGGAGTCCAGGAGAGTGGCTGCCTCTGCCAGAGAGGGATAAATGATGGCCTCTAACTGAAGGAGCAGAGCAGCTTGTATAGGGCTTCTTAGGGGCAGTTTTCCCGGGGAGAGAAGGGATTAGTTAGTTTCTTCCTACCCTGGGGTTGCTAGTTTAGTTGGTCAGGGGAAGAGATAGCTCTGATTTCATGGCAAAACTGTTTCTTTTGCTGGTTCTTTTTCACTTTTTGACTCTAATCTTAGGACCAGGACATATTTCTTTTACTGGCTCTGATTCTAGGGACAAAGTATGTTTCTTTGACACTAGTTTCAGAGTTAGGATACATGTCTTTAGTTTGGGGATAAAAGTATTTCTTTCCCTGGCCTAGATCTCAGATCCAAGGTGTTTCTTTTACTGACTCTGGGTTCAGAGTCAGGGTGCTCAGTGATTGGTTGGTTTCCTGCTCCAGCTGTTCCTTTTACCCTACACCACAGAGGGAAACAACAGACTCCAGGTAGGTATTTAGATACTTGCTGAAATCATCACCACTTGCTTGGAAAAAAATGCTGTGATAAAGTTGGTGGCTATTTTCATCTGGGAATCATTCAGTTTGCTTTCAATCTTGCTTATGGCTAAACTCTTGTGTAATTATGGAGTATTCAAAATATAGCTTCTATTTTCAATAAAGCAGCAGCTATCCTGACTCACACTCAGATCATTTCAATATCCTTCCTTCACTGACTCCACAACTTCTTTTTGGAATCTGTTGCTTGCTGGAGCTGGTCTCTGGCAAGTACCTCTTGTATAAAACATAGTTCAGTTTCCAACACCCACTTGGTTGCTCCCTTCTGTAAAACCAAAGTTACAGGGGATCCAACCAATTCTTCTGACCTAATGGCAGTGCTCTTATAAGAGGACAGATATACAGATATATATTTGCAACCGTACCCTAATGGGAGGAATCATTCATGTGAAAAAACTCACTCTTGTGTTCTAATGTCTGGACCCCAGAAACACCTCTAGCTTGGTCATGTGTTCAGGTAGGGGGCCCAGACCTTTACTGGCTGCATTGGAACAAGGTATGAATAAAGCTACTACCCTCTCCCAACAGATGAGTATTTCATCATGTTTCTGTAGTTATGCACTTCTAAAGATATTTTGTCACATTTTATTTCTTTGCTGTGCATCTATAAAGTGTGCAAACACAAAAAAGTACATAGTGACAAAGGACAACTTGAGAAATGGTTTTCTCCTTCCATTATGTGAAGAACAATCTTGTATAACTAGGGTTATAAGGAGGTGTTCTCTACATTGATAGCTTTCAAATAATGACATGGAGACATTTTATGACTTAAAAGCTTGCCCTTAGCTTAGACTTTTCAACCAGCTCTTATAACTTAAATTAACCCATATTTTTAAGTCTACCATCAGTCATGTGGCTCTAGTACCTCATCTTCACACTGTTCATACTGCTTCTTCTGCATATGACTGGTGACTTCATGTTTCTTCTTCCCATTGTCCCCTCCCTCCCCAGAAATCTCGACTATATTCTCCTGCCCAGCTAATAGCCATTTATATTTTAATTAACCCAATAGCAGCAGCACATCTTCACACAGTGTAAAAGAATATCCCATAACATTTCCCCTTTTAAACTAAATAAGAAGGAAAGGTTTTAACTTTAAAATAGTAAAACTAAATACAATTAGAACAATTATCAGAAAAGAATTACATTTACAATATCCAGTCTATTTGTATCTGTCAAACTCAGAGAAAGTGCTGTATTACCTATCCTATCTTAGTGACTCCAAAGTTTTATGCCTAAACTACTTTCTGCCATAATTTGTGTTACCACTTTAAAAATTGTTTTAGAATTTAAAGCATCATACACAAACAACTTGAGATTTTATGTTTTTCAATCTTATAAACTTTACATCTCTTATATAAACTTCTTTTATTTGGGTAACAAGAAAATCTGTAACAATCCAGTTTTCAACCCCATCAAAGACCCGAGAAAGATATATTATTACCTGAGTGCAGATCCAGCTACTTCATAAAGTATAGAAATGACAGAAACAGCTGACTGCCTGGACTGTCACCCAAGGTTCCTCTGCAGTTCTGGGGCATCCATCTTTAGCCTAAAGGCCTAGAATATCTGACAGACATTTCTGAGAATTAGAATATTTTAAAGGACTATCCCACCTTGGCTTGGCAAAGTTTGGCAGTCTTATTCCTTTTGGTCCTGCTTTTTCGGTTTGGACTGCATACTGTCAGCAGTTGAAGCAAAGGCAGTTCTTTGTCCACTGGTAGCTTTGCTACAAAGGACATAAACTCCATATGGGGGTTCTTTGATGCCCATCATCCTTTCTTGAAGTAGACTGGTGCTGCCAGTAGCAGATGTGTCTCATATTTTCTGCTATTAAAACATTTTCAGTCCCATATTCTATAGGTCTCTGAAGGGTTTGAAATCACCTATTTAAAATATATATTTCTGATTTTGAAACCATACCTAACATTGACTCAAATATTGATTGTTATAGATGACTAACTACTGTCTTTCTTTATTAACCTAAATAGATACCAAGTACTAAAATTTCACACTACATTTTTAAATAAGCTGCATAGGTACAATACCTTGAAAAGTATAGAGACGTATACATTACAATGAAAATATTTGAAATTATTAGTTGCTTCTTAGTTTAAAGTAGATCCATCTACACCTGTTTTTCTATTATTTCTAAATACCATCCATTTCTTTTCAGAAAAAGATCTCTGAATCTAAACTCCCTTGCTTAGTTTCCTCCCTTAGTAAAACTAGTAACAATTTGCAACCAACCCCCCAAAACTTGATAAACATCCATAATCCATTGAAGGACAAAGAGTCACCCACCCCAACTCTTGGAAATGTGAGTGTTGTATTTTTTAAATTACTTTTTTATTGTCTGGGGCAACAAAATTTTAGGGAACCCCGAGAAAATTGCAATAATGGTCAAGTCCTGGGAAAACTAACTATAACATTTATTGTCCAGCCTCTGTGTAATAGAATAGTGCAGGGCTTATCTAAAGTCTTCACTGGAGTAATCTGTGAGACTGAATCATCTCAGTTGACAGCTTTGATTTTGGATGTGTATTTTTGAATAATCTGTAATGGGGGCATTTTAGGAGGCTGGATCACCTGGGCTACTTGTCTTCATTGGTGTCTGGCCATTTTTTTCTGATAACATACAAATTTTTTTAAAACACACAAACTTTTAAAGGTAAAATACATATCTGTATTAAGACAAGCATATGAAATGTGTGTTGTAAACAAGTCAACTAAAGATGATTTTTTTTTGTTCGATGTTTGAGCAGGTAAAGGCGTTTGTCAACTTTATAAGTCTAGTTGGACTGTATAACCAAATTGTAATGTCATTATGTCATGAGTCCTCTGTAACCAACAAGATTTACCACGTCTTACCCAGTTTCCAATATGCCCCCATAGTAGAAAAATCAGCATACACATCACCTGTATTGTAGTTGTTTTTGTTTGTTTGTTTTTGTTTTAATATCTGTAGTCAAGATTCTCAGGAGGTCTCCACTGATCATACAGGATCTAGACTCCCTGTATATTTAATTGCTAACATAGTTCTCTTGATGTGAATGAATCAAAAAAATGATCTGGTTGAGTGAAGATGAGATCACATTATGCTAGGGAAAGTTCCAACATGTGATATGTACTTTTTAAAAATTATTTTCACTTTATGTGAAATGTTTTGGTTACATGTACCAAAATATTCAAAATATGAGGATTTTGAATCCCCTGGAAAATGAATTATAGACATTGTGAAGTTCTATAGGATGATGAGAATAGAACCTGGTACCAGTGGAAAAGCATCCTTCTTTCAAGTTCAACTTTTATTTTGATTTTTGAAACAGGATTTCTTCATATACATAAGGCCAACCTGAAATGAAATATCAGATCATAAGTTTCAGCAGCAACCACATTTACCCACTGATAAAATTCTCTGCCATTCATTTTTTTTCTGAGAATATGGGAAGAACCAGTTTTTAGTTCTCAATGAAGAAACATAATCCAATAACAGATGACAGTTGTGGTAGCTGGAATATTATTAGTCCCCATACTCTCATAGGGAGTGCCATTATTAAGAAGTGTGGCTTTGTTGGGGTGGATATGCCTTGTTGGAGGGAATGTGTCACTGCAGGGGTAGCCTTTGAGGTTTCCTGTGCTCAGGACACTGTTGAATCTCTGTTGACTTCCTGTTGCCTGCAAGATGTAGCACTCTCAACTCCAGCACCACATCTGCCTACACACCACCATGCTCCATCATAAAGATAATAGATGAACTTCTGAAACTATAAGAAAGTCATCTCAATTGAATGTTTTCTTTATAAGAGTTAGTGTAGTCATAATGTCACTTCACAGCAATGAAAACCCAAACTAAGACAACAGCATAAATTGCATTTTGAATTGGTGAGATAGATAGGAAAAAATGTATGTTGACTGCAAGGCCTCATGGGGATTTTCATCACTGTGAACTTTTTTCAAGATTTTGAATGCTACTGCAATATGCAAAGATCTTGTTACTTTAACATTCATAGGATTTCTATCTAGTATGACTTCTTTCATGCCTATAAAGATTACACTTATCTGCAAAAACTTTACTACATTGATTACATTTATAGGGTTTCTCTCCCCTATGACTTCTTTCATGACGGTAAAGATTGTACTTCTGTACAAAGGCTTTGCCACATTGAATACATTCAAAGGGTTTCTCACCAGTATGCCTTCTTTTATGCATGTAAAGAGCACTATTACATGCAAAGGCTTTACCACATTGATTACATTCATAGGGTTTCTCTCCAGTATGAATTCTTTCATGACTGTGAAGATTGTTCTTCTGTGCAAAGGCTTTTCCACACTGATTACATTCATAGGGTTTCTCTCCTCTATGACTTCTTTCATGATTGTGAAGATTATTTTTTTGTGCAAAAACTTTACCACATTGATTACATTCATGGGGTTTTTCTCCAGTATGACTTCTTTCATGCCTGTGAAGATGACTTTTATGTGCAAATGCTTTACCACACTTATTACACCCATAGGGTTTCTCTCCAGTATGAGTTCTTTCATGACTGAGAAGATGACTTTTATGAGCAAAGGATTTACCACATTGATTACATACATGGGGCTTCTCTCCAGGATGATTTTTTGCATGTATTTGAAGATAAGGAGGTGATGCAAAGTCTCTACCACAATAATGATATCCACACCTTTTCTCTCTAACATGAGTTCTATGTACTTGATGAAGACTATGGCATTCAAAGATTTTATCACTGTTATATTCACAGGGATTTATTTCAAAATGAGTTCTTTCATGTACATCTAAAGAGGAATCAGATATAAAGGCTTTACATTCATAGAGATCCTCTTCATTATTGATTGTTTTGTGTGCTTGGAGATATTTGTAACAGCTGAAGTCTTTAGGAGATGGCTCACATTTATTATTTCTTCTTCTCATATGAGTTTTCAAATGTCTTTGAAGAGAACTGGAAGGACTCACAGTTTTACCACATTGATTGCATTCATAGCATTTTCTTGTCATGTGAGTCACGTGACCTGTGCAAAGTGATCCAGTATAGACAGGCACATTTTCATATTCCGTGTACTCAGGTGGTTTTTCTTCAATATGAGTTTGTTGATATATTCCCACTGAAGTTGGAATACCAATTAATTGTAAGCTTATTTCACAGTCACCATGTCTTTTCATGGAGGGAACTATTACACATCTTTTATTTGTTCTGAGAGAGACAGGAGTACCATGCTTCTTTCCACATCCATTATGCTCACATGGCCTGAATCCACAGTGACAGATGATATACCTATTAAAAGGAAAATAACCAAGAATTTTACATTGCATTCACATAGTCTAATGTTTTGTGTCTCATACAGATGTGGTATAAGTATTCAGGTTTCTACACCACAATAAATTTCTTGTCTCTCATCAACTGCTCCTTTTACTAAACTATGGTAAGTCACTCTGTGACTTATGAGGAACACTAGCTTTAATATGGAAGATTTGCTTATGAAAGGTCTTGGACATTCACTAATCCACTTATCAATGTGAATAACTTTTATGATAATTGAATGGTATACAAGTAAGTAGATACACAGATCTACAACATGCCTTTCATATGCCTATGATTAAAACTATGACACCTTTTAAGACATTGATTTCTTGTCTTATTCTTAATAGAAGGCTTTGCACACAATGATCAGCTACTTAACATTGGAGTACAGGATGTTGTGAGAATTTAATAACTGTCACAGAGCTGTGGCTATTTACACTGCTGCTTTTCATTCAAACTTCACGACATATTAACATCTCTCCAGAGGTACATATGTATCAGCTTGAACATGAAGATTACCTTCCAGGTGTCCCAGAACTTTGACAATGTTCTTCAATATTGTGGTCTTCCCATTTGTACCCTAAAATACAGTACCAGAAAATGTATATGATATATCACCCAAAATTAAGCACAACTGAAACTACTCTCTTTTGTGAACCTTAGGACAATGCTTGATTAATTCACTCAATTATACCTCTTTTGCATTTCAAATTACAGAAGAGCAATGATCTCAAAGAAAGGCATGGCTCCTTAAGTTAAAAAGTGACAGAAAGCTCACATTATTACCTATAGAAGTGAGGTTCCAGTAGGTTTCCAGCATCACATCTTTGTAGAGACTCTTCTGAGATGGATCCAGCAAAGACCACTCTTCATGAGTGAAGTTCACATGCACATCCTCAAAGGTCACTACATCCTAAAGTATCCCAAATATATACATAATAGAAAGGTTGAGACAAACTGTATTTCAAATGTCCACTTCATTGAAAATATATTTGCCTAATTCTGTATATTCAATGTACTCTATGAAATGGAGCATAGAATTTCAAATGCAGCCACCAACTCATTTCATAAGAAAATAGAAAAGGAGAATGATGTTTTCTATTTCTGTGCTCAACAAATATAATATGGCATTGAAAGAGAAATAATATGTTATTTCTATATAGTAATATATAGAGGGAGATATGAAAACACTTTAACATCATTTAGAATATATCAGAAAAGTTGTATCCAAATTGTTAATTACAAAAAAGGGAAGACAATATGGGCATGGAGGTACACACCTTTAACCCCAAACCTCAGGAGGCAGAGATAGAAACTATTATTCTATACTAGCCTAATCTATGTAGACATTTCCAGGACAGCCAAAGTTACATAGTAACATCTTGCCTGAAACAAAAAAAAAAATAGAAAGCACTCAATGTCTTCCTCAAAATTGCTCCATAGTGTTAAACATTCCCTCCAATTCTGTACTGGTGTATTACAAACTGGAGTGACCTCTTGTAAATTTTAAGGCTAATAAATCCTAGGAAGGAAAGTCTTTTTAATAAGTTATGGACTGACAGATCAAAATTTCTCAAGAATATTAGTAAATGCTTATCCTAAAACAATAACAATAAAAAATGATGGGTTATATAAAAATAGTCAACAGATAAGGTCACCTTTTGCTTTTGAAGAGACCCCAGATCAATTCCTATCACTCACTGGAGGTATTCAAGTGCTCAACTGAAGGACCTGGTTTTAGTTCTGAGCACCCATATGGTTGCTCAAAATGACCTGTAAATCCAGTTCCAGGCGATTTTCTGATCTCCATGGGTACCATTCATACACATTATACACAGGAATGTAAGCAGGCAAAACATTCATACATAGCTAAATTATAATTAAAATCCTATTAAAACAAAAAACAACGGGGCAAAACTAAACCTCAAGATAGATATAACCTCAGAGTAAAAAACTGAGAAAAGATTTTCCAATCAAATGAACCTAAGAAACAAGCAAGTGTACTTATTGGAATATCTAGTAAAATAGACTTCAAACTAAATTCAATCAAAACAGATGGAGGAGGACAATTCATATCCATCACAGGAAAAATCCATCAGATGAAGTCTCAATTATGTACATATATGCCTCAAATACAAGGACACCCACATTTATAAATGAAACATTACTACAGCTTAAATCAAACCCCACACACTAGTAATAGGAGACTTCAATACCTCAACTCACCAATGGACAGATCTGCCAGACAAAATTTCATAGAGAAATAAGGGAAGTAACAGATATTATGACTCAAGTTGACTTTTACAGACATCTATATATCATTTGACCCAAACACCAAAGACTATACCTTCTTAGCACCTCATGGATCCTTCTCTAAATGTAACTACAACCCTGTAACAAAGCAAACATCAACAGATACAAAAAATGGAATAACTCCCTGTATCTTATCAAATCACCATGGCTTAAAGTTATAATTCAACAGCAACACGAATGGAAGAAAGCCTACAAACTCGTGAATACTGAACAGTGTTCAACTAATTCATAGCTGGGTCAAGGAAGAAATAAACGAATTAAAAACTTCCTAGAACTCAAGAAAAATGAAAAAACAACATATGCAAATTTGTGGGACACTATGAAAGCAGTGCTAAGAAGAAAGTTCCAAGCACTAAGTGTTTACATAAAGAACATGCAGAAAGATCACAGTAGCAACTTAATAGCATACCTGAAAGATCTAGAACCAGAAGAAGCAAACTCACCCAGCAGGAGAAGATGACAGGTAATAATCAAATTGAGGACAGAAATGGATGAAATAGAAAGAAAAAGAACGACACAAAGAATCAGTGAAAAAGGAGTTTCATCCAGACGGGTGAGTGTGTGCCGTCCCTGGGCAGACGACCTGAGAAGGGAGCACAGGGCCTCTCCAGCTTCTGCCGCATGGGCTTCTTTGTCCCACACGACCCTGCCTCCCACAAGCTTGCCCTATTCTCTGCGAGGTCCTTAGCCCAGGAACAGTTCCTGCTCCTGCACTGAGGAGATCCACCCAGAGAGTTAGTCATAGAATAGATTGGACCAAGATGCCAAGACTCTCCTGACTGCGTTTGAAGGAAGAGATGGGCAGGCGCCAATGGGAGAATTTCTCCAACAACCTGAAAGGCAACATGACAACACCAAATCCAGGGATCATGCAACAAGAAGACTTGAACACCCTGTTCCAGGAGAAGTAGAAAAAAAAAATCGACATTAAACGCAACATTATGAAAATAATAGAAGACCTTAAACAGGAGGTGAAAAACTGCTTTAAAGAAATGGAGAAGACAAGCAAAAAGGTAAAAGAAATGAATGAATCTCTCAAAGATATCCAAGAAAACCAAGAAAAAACAATCAAACAGGTAATGGAAACAGTACAAGACTTGAAAAATGAAATGAAGGTGATGAAGAAAACACAAACCGAGGGAACGATGGATACAAAAAATCTGGGTAAAAGAACAGGAACTACAGAGACAAGTATAACCAACAGAATACAAGATAGAAGAAAGACTCTCAGACACTGAAAATAATATAGAAGAAATAAACTCATTGATTAAAGAAAATAACAAATTCAACAAATTCTTAACTCAAAACATCCAGGAAATCTGAAAAACCATGAAAAGGCCAAACCTAAGAATAATACGGGTAGAAGAAGGAAAAGAATCACAGCTCAAAGGCCCAGAAAATATATTCAACAAAATTATAGACAAAAACTTTCCCAACCTAAAGAAGAATATTCCTATGAAGGTACAAGAAGCATACAGAACACGTAGTAGACTGGATAAAAAAAAAAGCCCTTGCCATATAATAATCAAAACACAAAACATACAGAATAAAGAACGAATATTAAGAGCTGCAAGGGAAAAAGGACAAATAACATATAAAGGGAAACCTATCAGAATTACAGCTGACTTCTCAATGGAAACCATGAAAGCCAGAAGGTCTTGGATAGATGTGCTGCAGACACTAAACGACCAAGGATACAAGCCCAGACTACTATACACAGCAAAGCTTGCATTCACCATTGATGGAGAAACAAGGTATTTCAGGACAAAAACAGATTTAAAAAATACGAAGCCACAAACCCAGCCTTACAGAAAATACTAGAAGGAAAATCACAAACCAAGGAAGCCAACAACACCCATAATAATTCAAGCATCTGACAACCTTCCACCAACACAACTCAAAGAAGGGAAACACACAAGCACTACTAAAAAGAAAAATAAGCGGAGTTAACAACCACTGGTCATTAATATCACTTAATATTAATGAATTCAATTCACCTATAAAAAGGCACAGGTTAAGAGAATGGATACGAAAACAGGATGCAACATTCTGCTATTTACAAGAAACACACCTCAACCTCAAAGACAGACACTACCTCAAAGTAAAGGGTTGGAAAAAGGTTTTCCAATCAAATGAACCAAAGAAACAAGCGGGTGTGGCCATTCTAATATCTAACAAAATCGACCTCAAACTAAAATCAATCAGAAGAGATGGAGATGGACATTTCATACTCATAACAGAAACAATTCACCAGGAGTAAGTCTCAATCCTGAATATTTATGCCCCTAATATAAAAGCACCCACATATGTAAAAGAAACATTACTAGAACTCAGAGCATACATCAAACCCCACACTCTAATAGTAGGAGATTTCAACACTTCTCTCTCACCAATGAACAGGTCAAACAGACAGAAACTTAACAAAGAAATTAAAGAACTAACAGATATAATGAACCAAATGGACTTAACAGACATCTAATAGATGTAATAGAACATATCATCCAAACAGAAAAGAATATACCTTCTTCTCAGCATCTCATGGAACCTTCTCAAAAATTGATCACATAATCGGTAACAAAGCAAACATCCATAGATACAAAGAAATTGTAGTAACCACCTGTGTAGTATCAGATCACCATGGAATAAAGTTAGAATTAAACAACAATTCTACCCCCAGAAGGCCTACACACTCATGGAAACTGAACAGTCAACTACTGAACCACCCCTGGGTCAAGGAAAAAATAAAGAAAGAATGTAAAGTCTTCCTTCAATTCAATGAATATAAACACACAACATACCCAAACCTATGGGACACTATGAAAGCAGTGCTAAGAGGAAAGTTCATAACTCTAAGTGTCCACATAAAGAAAATGGAGAAAGCACACATTAGAGACTTAACAGCATACCTGAAAGCTATAGAAAAAAAAAAAGAAGACTCACCCAGGAGGAGTAGAAGACTGGAAATAATCAAAGGGAGGGCTGAAATCAACAAAATAGAAACACAGAAAACAATCCAAAAAATCAATGAAACAAAAAGCTGCTTCTTGGAGAAAATCAACAAGATTGACAAACCCCTATCCAAACTAATCAAAAGGCAGAGAGAGAACATGCAAATTAACAAGATCAAAAATGAAAAGGGGGATATAACCACAGACACAGAGGAAATTCAAAGAATTCTCAACAAAAGAATTTCAAATGGACAAAAGATATTTGAAATCATTCTCAACCTCCTTAGCAATTTGGGAAATGCAAATCAAAACAACTTTGATATACCATCTTACAACTATCAGAATGGCTAAAATCAAAAACACCAATGATAGCCTATGCTGAAGAGGATGTGGAGTGAGGGGAACATTCATCCATTGTTGGTGGGAATGCAAACTTGTGCAACCACTTTGGAAATCAGTATGGATGTTTCTCAGGAAACTGGGAGTCAACCTCCCTCAGGATCCAGCAATTCCACTCTTGGGAATATACCCAAGAGATGCCCAATCATACTACAAAAGCATTTGTTCAACTATGTTCATAGCAGCACTATCTGTAATAGCCAGAACCTGGAAACAACCTAGGTTCCCCTTAATAGAAGAATGGTTAAAGAAG